TTAAAAGCGCATTACACGGGGCTCCTGCTGTGCTTTGCCTTTGGAGACACTTCGCTCTCTCCACTGCCCTGGCTCCCTAATGAGGCATGTAAACTAGGGAATTCCCCCAGCAAGGGTGCTGGCTTGCAAAGCCTGCAGGAGGGAGATGTCCAGGATACCCGCCTGGCCCGTCTGCCCCTCTGCCCAAATCAGCTAGCAGCACTGGAGGTCAAACGGGAATTAAAAGAAATGGCATTGGCACAAGCAGGTTTAACACCCCAAACCTATTAGAGGAGAGAACATAGCACACCGATTCCACCCCCTGACCTTGAAATGATGTAAATATGAGTGCAGCAACCCTAGAGGAGTTGTAGCAAAATAGTTATAGCATGGCAAGCAGATTAAAAAATACAGTTAATATACATACTTCCCCAGATGCTTGTGTATTATTATGCAAGACATGTTTATTATGCAAAATGATAGAGCAGAAAAAAAGCAGAGAAAAAGGAAATGCAAAGACACACTGAGCTCTTAACGTGACTTGGGTTTTTTCAATGCTGTTTAGATTTTTTTTTTATCGTGCATAATCATTCCCTTATTAGCAGGAATCTTTGAAGTGATTCAAGCTCTAATTTCAGCATTTCAAACTCACAGGTTTATACTGTAAAACCATACTGAGCTCTTGTAAGCGACCCATTTTTTTCCTCTGTATTCTGTATCTCTGCTAGGGTTTTCTCGGTCTTTCCAATAAATTATGTATCACAATTTGCCATTTCAAAAATAATTAGAACTCCAAGTTAAACAACAAGGAATATCTGAGAGCAGTGCATTTTAGAAGAGAAGTGTTATGCACTTGGGGCAAAACCAATCCCAGCTGTAACACCACTGAATTATACATATCATCATATTGAGCGCTGCAATTTCGGTGTACTTGGAGTGACTGGGTGGGCCTGAGGAGGCCCTACAGCCCCATGATGAGCATCTGCTCCAGGAGAATCGGGTTTGCCTCTCAGGCAAAACACTTTGCAGGTGCTCCCTTCCCCATGCCCCCACAAGTTGTTGCAGCAGGGGTAATGGAGAGAAACTTCACAGAGAAAGGTTATACAGTAGTAGGAATTAATTTGGTGGTGCAACTATTAACTCCAGGCAGAGACAGAAGAGCATGTTGTGTGTCTTCTTCCGATACAATTAGGCTGTAAACTCACTGGAGCAGGACGTACCTCTTTATTCTGCGTTTCCCTCTCCTCTGCAACAACCAGCCTTTCGTCTCAGCTTCCCAAGCGCTAAGACAGTAGAAGTAATACCTACTGCCCTTCATTCATTCTGTGTTTTTTTACTTTGGCATAAAATGCTAACAGTGCATCCACAGTAGAGTCGTGTCCCTCCCCACAACAGGTGCTGATTAAAAAGAAACACCCTTCATGCACCATCAGGGAATTTACAGCTGCTCTACATTATAAGAAATCAAATGGAAACACACCATTGACTCTGCAAGCTTGCTATGAAGACAGCGTTTTGCATCCTACTGTCTGCCAAGCCATGTGCCTCAGACCAAGACCTGATTATTTTCTTGCCTACTAAGCACCTAATTCCCCAGCAGACCTCAGAGGTAGCAATAAGCCAGTCTGGGAAAAAAAAAAAAATAATCAGGTATCGAGTGTAAGTAAACAATGCACAAAAGTCATAAACAGCTGCTTCCCAAGCAAAGAGGCTTTGGCATCTAATGCATTTAGGTCTCTGAAGCTGGCTAGGGATCTATGGTTGGCTTCAACCCAGAAACCCAACCCCACACTGTCCCTACCCATCCCTAATGGAACAGAACAGATGAGGAAACTCATGCTAAAGGTATCACGGTGTGGCCGAGCACATAGGAGAGTCTTGCACGTTTCTGCAAAGAGCCTTCTCAAGTTTGGCTTTAGAGGACCCCACTCAGCCCTGCTTTTATGCTGATTGGCACCAGGAAGACTTTTTCCAAGGGCTAGTTATTTTAAATGCATTCATTCAAGAGCCCATTGGCCCAAACTCAGAAGGAGCTGGCACAAACCATCTCCGAGACCAGGCTGATAATAGCCTCTGGTTTGATCCAGGGCAGGGGATGTCAGCCAAGGTCTCAGCTGACGCACACAGATTAAGCATTACCAATAATACCCCACCAAACAAAACCAAAACAAACCCACAGTGATGATGTGTTCAGTTACAGACACAATCTGGACTCAAGAAGAGGAAAAAACCACCACCACACAAAACATTTCCCTGGACAGTTGCATTTTATCTGAAAGCCATCCTGGGCTTGAGGGCGTTACAAGTGGTAGCAGGGCTGGGGCTGGGACAGACAGCAGGGGAGGCAGCCAAGCAGCAGAAAAACTTCATTTATCAGTGGATCTGCATGAGTGAACATCATCTATTGGGAATATTGACCCATTTTTCAGAAATCCCTCAGAAAAGACCAGTGAAAAAAATAGGTACAGGCACAACACCAAAGGAAACCGGTCGGAGATCGAGCAAAGCTGTAGTTTAGGGTCCGCTAAGCAAAGGAACAGGGACAATGTGTCCTTTGCTGCGGGCAGCAGTCAGGTCCAGGCGGCACGGCCGGTGGCCCTGCTCACCCCAGAGAGAAACAGACTGTCAAGTCCTGCCAAAGCAATTCCCCAGCACAGTCTTCGAGACTGACACAGCCGTGCCAAATGTTGGCTTGGAGTGGGATCCTGGTCCCACAAGGAAAGCTGCAGCATCCAAAAGAAACTGCTTGAACAGGCTAAGCTCTTCTCAGCCATATCCAGGTCTCTTTAGGACCCTGGTCTCATCCCTTGTCTTTGGTACTATGAGTGGCTTGACCCACACTCCCTGGTCCTAACAGAATTCATCCACAAATTTTTTTTCTTGCCTTGAGGTCTACTCCAAAGCACAATTAATTGATTTACTGCTGTGAGATAGAGACAGAGCCACCCGTCAATACAAGAAAATAGTGTCCCCCAAGTTCCATCTCTCTGGAGTAGAGGTGGGCCAGCAGCATCCATTCACTGCAAGCAGAAACCTTGGATCATGTTGACAAAATGAACAGTTTAACTCTTATTAGTTCAGACAGAGCTGAATGTCATCAAGCCGTGGCATGTAATGAGGTCCACTTCATTAACCACTGGCCATCATGGCACATCCTTAGCCTTCCCTGATTAACCGTCCTGCTTAAGACAGACACGCTTGCTGGGAATAAGCAGGCCCCGTTAAAACAGCCTCTTCTGAACACATGTATGATCTGGTGCCTTTCAGAACACTTCACGTGACTAACAGATGTGTTTCCCAGATGCATGGTCCTCCTGCTGCCCACCATCTCTCGGTATGTCCCTCCTGCTCTTTGCATCATCTCACTACTGCTAGCAAGAGATACTTTTCCTCTGCATCATCTCTAATCTCTCAGCTGTCAAACCTCACATTTCCAACTCTTCATTTCTTCTCCTGCCCGAGCCCCACACCTTTCCCTCCCTTGCACTATTTGTTCAGAAAATGCTGACCCCTCATTGCTCCAAAAAGATACACACCCCTCCCCTCCCCGGCTGGATGTGGCTCTGTGACACACACTGCTTTCCTGCAGTCCTCATGTATGGGGCACCAGTGGTACGAGGAGCCTCAGTGCCGGGCCAGCATCCTTTATGCCCAGTGCTGCACAAACACAGGGCAAAATCCCAGTCCTGACACCCCCCCACACTATGTGCCTAGAGGGAAGCACGCACAACAATGCAGCACCACACCGCACTCCGTATTACCTTTAGGATTCTGATAGCTTTACAAAAAGAGGAAGTTTTCATTGTTAGTAAACCGATGTAATTTATTTAGAAGCAGTCATTTATGTTTACTGGGCTATGAAAGAACAGGAAGCGTCTGGCATCCACAGAGATCCAGATTGATCTCTCTGTCTCTTCTTGACAAGCAGCCAGTTTTGAGACCTATCTCGCCAGGCATACTAACACATCCACTTGCTGTTTTCTACCCTGAGCCGCTGGTGAGACAGAGCTATGTCACCTCTCGAGGGAAAGGAGGAAATCCCAACCGTGTGAGCCGTTTAAAACTGACCAGGAACAAAGATGGATGGTAAGAGTTAGGAAATATTGTGTAGGAGCAGCTCAGACTGTTGTCCTTTCAGTGGTCCTATCTCCATTCTCACGTACGCTTTTAAAGCAAAGTAAATGTCTAGACAAGAGCGGAATCGCTGCACTGTAAATTTACACAACGGCAGATGAGATTAGAATCTTGGCCATACACTTTAAAGATATCATAGCTACAGAAATGAGAAGTGTATTATTAACTATTACTTTTTACTATGTAGAACTGGAGCAAAGTTATTTGAAGCATAAAAAATTCTGGCAAAGGGCTGCCATATTTAATAAATCACTGAATCAATTATTCACTGTGAAAATCAATTACTTACTTCAAATGAGAATCTTATGAATAACCTCATGCCCTTTCATGCCATCTAAGAAAGTTATAGGGGAATTAGTCAGTAAAAAATGCCTCACTTATCTTTTATGTGCATTAAAAAGACCACACAGATAGAGGGAAATTCTACCAACAGAATAGTCCAGAACCATTATAATGAAGTCAGGGTATTGCTGTGGATTTACACTGCAGGCAGAAGCAGAGTATGACACATTGGGGCACCACCTATGATCAGTTACGCGGGCGCAATTCAGAAGCAATTCCATTCAGTCCACGCCATTTCACGAATGTGAAAGCCGAATCTAACCAGCCAGCCATACCACCTCCTCTACAACGTGACCTACATTAAGTGACTACTCAAAGGAATACAAAGTGTATCTTCACAGGTCAGGAAATATTGCCACGAATCTCCGAGGAGACACTTTAAAGTGAATATTGCATGGCCACGCAGCAGCTCCCCCTGTTCCTGCTTGCAAAGGTTTGCTGATACGTGACCGTTTTCAGAAAAAGCTGCAAGTCCCAGTGCAGTCTCCCCCCTCCTGCCTACAAAACCCAACCACTCCAGGACCCCAACGGCACAAAGTACTTACTGAGCTGTAGAGATATCCCTCAGCGTTCATGGCAACGTACAGACCTGCCTTCACCCCTTGGATTGCCACCACGCGAAGACCCACAGGAATTAGATTGAAAAGGGCTGCAGAAGGAAAAGAAAAGCAAAGGTTATGGAGACATCACCCTGCGCGGCCGCTGCTGCTTTTTTGCCCCCAGGCTGGCCCACCCCACTCCTGACTCTGACAAAAGATACTGAACTAGAATCAAAAGCCCCGCTTCCAGCTACAAGAGAGGTCTGCAGTCCTGGGGCCAATGTTGAAAGCAAATTTTAAAAGTGCACTGAATTTGGCTGCCTCCCAGAAGCCTCAACACACCCATCAGTCCATCTGATCACTTTGCAATGCCAAGGGCTCATACGTGCACTAAAGCTAGCGCATCTCAACGGCTTTCTGTGGGCCAGCTGAGCTGTGGGAACTGCACATGTACACGTCTTTGCCCATGGCAAACGCAACAACACAACTGAGTTTAGTTCACCCTGAAACAGATTTTAGCCTAGTCACACTGTCTTGCATTTGCCATATGCTATAAGAGTATATAGACAGCGAGCAGGGCCAGAAGGATGCTAATTAACTTGACTGCATGTCTGCCCCTGCGATCCCTGCTGTTAAAGGAATGAAGAGACTCAGGAAGAGATCCTGCTCCACTCCAGGACCAGAGCACTGCTCCTCATTCAGAAGCAGCACTAGATAGGACAGAAGAGGACAAGACCTTTCAATACTCAATTCTACTGCAATCTTATTGATTAAAGTATTGCAACCACTTCCTCCCAATTAATTACTTTATTGCTTTATTTCAAGTAGAGCATGTATCCCATTGAAAGACTTTTCCCAGGAGCACATACATTAACGTACAGTCAGGCTTTTGCTACATTTCTAACAGAATGGGTTCAAAGATGTAGAAGATGGTCACTGTTCATAGACTGAACACTGAGGAACTAGCACAGCTTTGTTTCCATTGAGATTTGTAGGAAAAGAGTATCCAGATGTTGCAGGACCCCTTCTGCTTCAGCTTATAAAGAGCTAACTACAGCTTGTCCCAGGGAGCCCAGGATATGGAAAGAGGGACACAGGATTGGGAAGAAACATAGAAACAGACACCACAGAAATACTTCACTCAAGGTCTCTTCCCACACAACTGCCCTGAAACAAGAATATTTTTTCCTGGTTCCCTAGTCACAAGGTCAGACTTCCCCTTCCACATTCATGAAGCATTTATGGCTTTTTAACACACTCACTTGTTTGCAAAAGCCTGCTTCAAACTTCTCAAGAGCTTTAAGGTGTTCAAATTAGCCCGAGAGGGGCCTGTTAATGGGCAGAGTGCAGAGGAAAGACTGAGTGATGGAGGGCACAGGGAAGCATTCCTGTTTTCCAGCTGACCATTAAGGACGTCATCCTCTAGCTGATTCATTTTATAGATCATTTACGAAGTTTTATGCCTGACACGACACATCACATTGGAGCAAGCACAGCCCAAAGAGGTCTTCCATAATGGTTGTAGGAGAAACAGTCCTCCTCACTGTGCCATCTCCCAGCCTCTCTCTCCCTGGGAGATAGACTGCTGCTGATTTAACATCAGCCCTGAAGGACAGAGCAGCTTTTGCTGAAATGGCCTATTCAAAATGGTATAGCTCTCCAGGCCAGGCTAGTGTTAATCTTGTTATGACAGGAGGGAATTGAGACCAGCTCAGCATCAATCCACCGCCCCTAGAAGACTGGTTAGATGTGCACATGCCAGGTAACACAAGGATTTAACTCAACCACGAGATGTTCCCAAGGATGTCCCTCATGAACTATCGCAGAGGGGAAGAGAAAGTGTGTTGGAATTCCTTTCCAAAGAAATAAAAAAGAAAAACCAAAACATTTATAGCAAACATGGAGAAAAAGGAAGGGGGGGGGAACAAAACAAAACCCAAAACTGTAAACTGATTCTTTCCTTGCAACCAGTGTGACTGCTCCAAAGTCCCAGAAGTTGCACAATTTCTAAGAGAAAAAGCAGAGCCCAAAGAGTGTGTGTGAAATGTAATAGGGACCTGGTTGCATTTGACCTGAACTCATGGTGGATTTGCTTACAGGTCAGAGGTGGATACCTTTGCAGAAGTAAAACCTGAAAAAAGCACAGGAGACAGAAAGCCACTTTGCTCAAGATACCTAACAGGTGCCCTGGCTAAGGCCCAAAAAGGGATTAATGGAAGCCATCTTCCCATGAAGGCTCTTTTCTCTCCCTCATTTAACAAGGAAGGCGGTGAGACACCTAAAAGGGAGGCACCTTGAGTCTGGTGAAAAGAAACCTACCCCAGCCCCTTTCCATGCCTTTAAGCGCCATATTCAGTAAAATATCAAAGCGTGTGCTGAAGTCTCACCAAAGCCAGTGCCTACATTTTTATGTGATATTGTAGGAGGACATCAACAAATATATATGGCAAAAGAAATGCAGTCTGGGCATTGGTCCGTGAGCACCTGGAGTCAAGGATGGGGCTGCTCTGATACTGTCCCCAGACAACATAAACACATTCCAGTATAACTACTCAGCATTGAAGAGCTGCATTATAGCACAGGTCTACTGTTGAAAAGCTTACTAACCAAGGCAAGCTTATATTTCTGTCACTTTCTCCTTACCATGAAGGACTAAAACCCTTTGCAATTAACAAGTCTATTTATAAGCAATTCCCCTTCCCTAATTTCCCCCCCCACTGAAAAATGGAGCATATTACTGCTAATAATGAATCCAAATGGGCATCATCATTCATTCCCTACAGCCAATTTGTCTTGCATAGAAAACTTGTGACAGACCATTCAAAGCGTTCATTAGGCAGTGAGGTGGTAATACCCAGAATTAGTGGGTGAGAGAAGTTCCACTTGGAAGCCCCCACATGTCTCCAAATCTCTCTTTCCACCTATGCATGCCAAGGGAGCACAGGAACATTCCTGTTGTGCTCTGCGTTGCGGTAGCGAGACTGCTGCCAGCTCCCAAGCTCCCCGACACCCCGCTGCCGTCCACAGTAGCGGCACCCACAATCGTGGCTTTTAGGCATGGCAGAGCATCTCCCACAACATACTGCAGAGCAGGGGAGCCAGCAGGAGGCCACGCATCTGACACAGGTAATTGCCAGACAAAGAAGTTTTAGGAAGCAAGGATCTTCCTCTATTAAAAGAAGTGGTTTGGGTCAATCAAAACTTTGTAAATTCTCAGAGCTGTTTCTGCACTCAAATCTAGAAATATCTTTGAAGAAATTGAAGCCATTTGTTATTTTGAACATATTTCAAAGCTTATAACCTTATTGTAAAAAGGGGGGGGAGGGGAACCACAGACGGACCCTCAACCAACCTTGACAGCAAGAGGTCTCATTTCTTGTCAGGAAAAAAAGATTCTGGTTAATGTGAAACAGCAGATGGGGAAGAGGACTAGCTGTGGTACAGTAGGACTGGACACAGGATGTGCTGATGCAAAAGAGAAAATTTAACAACTGCATTTTAAACTTTCTCTACTGCAAATGGTATATTTTCTACACCATCTGCAACTGCATGGAATGGACATGTTCTTCTACTTCATGGGCAGAAGAGAAAAAAAAATTAAGACATTGAATATTTCTGCCTATTTTCCTTCATTACATCTTACCATTTTCAACCATCAGTAGATTTACACCTGGTTATTAATCATAGTACTCTTAGCATGCTCCAGTCCTAAACCTTTGGCCATGAGTACGTTATTCACTGTTATGTTATGGCAGTTTATCAGCTGCATAACATGTTTTTAAAATCCGAACACATACTTAGCTATGAGTCGGCTAACTTATTTACAGAAATGGAAGAATAAGGCAAGACATGCCATATATAAGATGTGGTCCATACAATCAGCTGATTTAACCAATAGTAAGTCAGAGAACTAAACTAATTTATACCAGGTGACTTGTTCTGGAGCAAGACGTTTGTTCTGCACATGAATAAGGAAGAACTAACAGAGGATGCAATAGGCAACCGCAGCCTCGGTGCACCATGAGATGGGGAGATTTAAGATCCTGAGCGGAGCGAGGAACTCTGCTAAAATGATCAAGAGGCTGCGGTGCAACACATATTTGAAGAAACTGAGGGAACTGGGTTTGCTTAGCTCAAAGAAGGGAAAGCTAATGCTGCCAGAGACAGACTCTTCTCAGAGGAAGATTGTGAAAGGACAACAGGCATTAGGCAAAAGCCTCAGAAAAATTATGCCAGAATATAAAGAAAATTCTCTACAATGAGAATAGCACAGCACTGGAACCAGACAGGTTATGAAGCTATGGAATAGTTCATTGCTAGCGACATTTGAAACTAGACAAGGTTCTGTGCAGCTGAAGATAACCCAGCTCCAAGTAGGATGTTGGACTGGAGACCTCCAGAGGTTTCCCCAATCTTAATCTTTTTGTGTTTCCGGCTGGAAAGGCTCAAACAATACCCTAGATATACTGGGCTGTTTCCACCTGGTCAGTACAGGTGACCTGTCCTTTATGTACTGTCCGTTTGCTGAGGCTTTTCAGACATTCAGCCGGATTATGCTGGTAAAGAAGTCCAATTGCTGTCACAGAGAAGGGGCATTACCCTGCTCAGCCCGGGAAAAAGCAATTATGATGCAAGCACTGGCAGCAACAGTAAACCCTGAAAGACCATTTGAGATCACTGAAGCTGGAAGGAAAAGATACTGCCCCAAATTCAGGTTCATGTACAACATTACTAAGAACACAAACAAGGGCCTCATACACCATGAAACTGCACTCCTATTAAAAGAAAATTCTTCTTATATCCCAATGCAAGTAGGCAGAGAATCTGTCTTCTTGCTTACATTAAGATGGCGTGCCTTTAACTACATGGTATAAGGAACAGATGTCCCAAGCGCTGTTTCGCGGGAAGCTGGCTGGATGCCCATTCAAATGCCACTAGAACTTGGCTTCTGGGTGGTTTGGGTTTTTTTTTTTTTTTCCTCTTTTTCTTTTAGTGAGAGGAGGTGGAAAATAAATGCCATCAGCCTCTCAAGAACACACATAAAATGGGCACCGGCTAATTAATTTAAAAATGGCTTAAATATTAGCAGTTCCTCTTATATAAATAACTGGATTTTTATTAGAACTTTTAATTGCATCAGGCGCATCTGAGGGACATGTCGTGTCTCATTTTAAATGTTTATTTTGCCAGAGTAAACCAACCTGATGTATTCCATGAAAATTAAGCTTCCTTTCATAATGCTAATTTGAATAATCAGTGTGTGGCTACAGAACACAGAGCAATGTATGGAACATGGCGTTCACCGCATATTTAACTATGCTAAGATGGCTTCTGCATGGAGAATAGATGGTCATCCGGGGCGGGAAGGATCCTGCTGTGACCATCGAGATTGCCCTTCTCTGCCAGTGAATGTGAGTCAACCAACCCCTCTCCAGGGACAGGGAAATATTATTTATCTCATCTTTGATGAGTTTTGCCCTTGCACAGAAATATTGCACGCACTTCTGATTGGCTGCTCAGGAATCTTCTGGAGAAGTATTTTAAAACGGAAAACATCATTGAAGTAAATCTGTGAGCTGTTCACTTAGACAAGTGAGTTTTAACTTTTTTTCTGGTCAAAAATTGAGATGTTTGGAAGAATGCAAAAGGAATAAAAGAGTCAGTATGCTTTATTTTGGCATTTCCAAAGTGAAAAATGTGATTTTGTTTTAAAGTTGTAACTGGAAGTTTCATATAATATAAAATGTTGACTCAAACTGAAGATTTATAAAGGAGAGTATGTAGTAAAAAGTTAAACAAAACTAAGTAAAGCACATTCTTCATTTCACTTTCAGGAGCCAAAAATTATCAGGTTTGATTTTTCCCTCTTTTGACATACCCTGAGATCAGAAGATGGGGAATTCTTTGGTTTCAATCTTTTCTCAAAAACTTCACTAAACTTTCCAACACAGCCCATGACTTTAAGAAAGTGGCTTGGCACCCTTCAGCTAGATGCCTCCTGTCCCACCAAGCTGCCAAAGCAGGGCTGCCATCTCACCAGATAAATTTACACTCTAGAAGTGCCCTTCAGCCCATCTATTTCCAGTTAAGATGACTGGGTGGAAGTGGCTCACAAGTACTCAGCACCTTATCAAACTAACCTCTAACACTTCTAATGGGATACATAAACAAGAGCTGTTTGGGTGATTGGGGCTCAACCTCAGTGACGGGGAGTCAGGAGGTTCCCCTGCACCCACCGAGGCACAGCCAGAGGCAGCTTCCCTCCTCTCCCCTGCCAGCCTGAAATATTGCAGGACTGCTCTTACATTTTATTCTCTTCTGCTGTTTACCTAAATTCATCTCTGCTTCCACTTAAGCCCATTACTTTGTTGTTCAGTCCTCGCTGATAGATGATGGTAATGAATCCCTGTCATCTCTAGCAGCTCTTCCCGTGTCGTTGACAAATAGGCCTCCAATGGGATTTTCTGCAGATTGAGGACACCCTATGTCTTCTTTCTTTAAGAAAAAGCAGCTAATGCAACCCAACACTGGGTCATTACTCACCCACTAAAGCCCGCTGAACTCATCACATGTGTTGGTGTCTGCCTGAGAAAACCACAAGGCCAGACTCTTCTTGTAGGAAGACACCTGCTCAGTCCCTCATGGAGTAAAAGTGTGTGTGTGGAGGTCCACAGATTCTCCTGCCCCAATGTAAATTAGAAGCTGCGTCGTTGCAATTCGTGGTATTTCATTTGTTCAACACTAATATATGAAAAAGACTAAAACCTGACACTTGCATCTGCTACAGACCAAGTTTCTGGTGAATGCAGCCTCTTGGTCATTTCATAAGGGCTTTGGCAGCCCCCCGCAATTTTAGTTGCCATCTTCTCAAAGCTCCTCTCTCACGCACCACTCTGCTCATGGACCCCAGCCCTGAGCTGGCTGCAGCAGAGCAGCCCCACCACACATAACGCTCCCACCACAGCAGCCCACCAGCTTCTTGGGGATGGGGCAAGTACCATGGATGTGGGGCTGCAGCTACCTTGCCGCCTTGTCCAAGCACACCTTCACAGGACAACATCCATGCCCTGCTACATGCGCTGCACCACTGCAGACACCTCTCACCTGCAGCCCAGGCCCTGCCTTCCTGAAGGAATGGTGCCTTCGATCCAGCTAGGAGCTTCTTTGAGCAAGAACAAGATTTGTCCCCAAATTAAGCAGGTTCCACCTTTCACAACGTACGTGAAGTTTGCTTCCATCAGTCCTACCACACAGATGAACTTCTGTTCACCTCTCGTAACAACTGGGAAGACGCCTTCCATGCTGGACACGCTAGAGACGATGCCCCTTCAGCAGTGGCACAAGTAGCTGCAAACCAATATAGGATGACCCGAATCAAGACTTGAGTCCTAGTCTGTTGATGCAGCTTGTGGCACCAAGGATCTGCGCTTATTACTGCCCTCTCAGAAGCATCAATCTGAGGCCTATGAAATGAGAAGATGCTGTAGAAAATATCCTGCACCTCTTTTAACCTTTTGAGGAGCTTTGCTATTGACAAAACTACTTCTTTGCAAAAGAAATATTAGCTACTTCTTTGCAATTTTTTAAACTAATATGGCTCCTGCACATAAGCATCATTTTCAAACCTACCTGGCTCTGCCGCACTTTGTTGTCCTTTGTTGGACATTATGAACCCGACCCCTTTGAACAGGGTTTTGGAAGATGACCCGCTTTGGAAAGGTCATTTGATACCCTCAGCCTTGACACTAGGCTCAAAGCACTAGACTTTAGTGAACAGCTGGTTTTCTCCACCCTGGAAGTTTCTGATGCTTGCTGAATTTTTTCAGGATAAAATAGTGAAAATATTTTCTCCTCTTCTCCTTGGAGAGAGAATTCCCCGTATCCTTCACTCACGTGGCATGTGTATAAAAATAATCTCCTTTCTCTTCTGGCAGCAAGTCAAATCATGGGTTTTATTCTCCACCCCACCCAGATGGCAGTTTCAGAATCGGGGCGGGAGGGAAGAATATCGGAGAGGAAACATACGAAATTATACAGGCAAGATTTAAAGGGGAAGGACAGATAGAAAAAATGTGCAGAAAACAGCTGGCTTCTTCCTAATGTGATCTTTTCAAAAATAAAGCTGCACAAGCGAGACCCACTAGGTGATGTATTTGATAGCAATTGGGTTGCAAAACAGGCTAATTTTTCTTACTGTAGTCGCTGTTTTCGTCCTTGGTCCCATCAATTGTACCATCTGGGTGCATCTGCAGGAAG